AGCAAAAAGTAATAAGTCAGACGATACCTGTTGTGGAAGATCGTTGACATAGATCAAGAAAATAGGAGGTCCCAGTACTAAACCCTGGGGACCCCACTAGGACATTCAACAGCCCATGAGAAAATGAAGTTAAACCCGACCTTAAAATGTCGATTTTTTAGATATGAAGTGAGCCAGTTAATTAGAGGTGATTTTATACTCAATCGTCGAGATTATTGGTTGGGTCTATCAACAGCTTTTGAGAAGTCAGGGTAAGTGACTTTAACCTTCCCCTTGCGGTCAAGGATGGTTGTCCGTCTGCCCACCTCAGTCAGCAAGTTGGTTATACAATAATGACCCTTTCTGAAACCATACTGTTGGGTTGAAAAGACGTTTTCGGACAATAAATAGTCGTGTATACCGTCGCATAAGAGGGACTCCATAATTTTGAAGGTATAGAGAGAAGGGCCAGCGGTCGGTAGCTTAGAAGTTCACTATGTTGATCTCCACTGAAAATTGGTGTGATGTGAGCCTGGTACCAAGCAGTTGGGAAACCTCACTTTTGGCTTGTCGAAGAGGGGCTGCATAACGGAATAAGCTTTTGGATTGGAGACAAATCTATCGATAAGCTTTATCTAGGACTGAAGCTCGTCTTCTCTCATTACATTTGTGCATGTGCTCCTTATATGTTTGTATGCCTATACGTGCCGTTGTTATCAGTACGTTTGTTTTCTGCCCAACAGTGCTTCTTGTGGCTTGGCGAACGAAGAGTGTGGTTCTTGATGACTGTAGGTTGCTTTTAGATTTCGGCGACCATTTAAGGAACAGACTGCTTAGTAGCATATAAGATCAAGTGCAGTAAATATCCCAATGAGTATCTACATCACATAGAGGGCGGATTTCCCAATCCATCTGTTGTAGATTGTCCTGCTAACTTGACACATTCAACCGTTTGAAATTCCAGCGCCTGTTGTTGGTGGAATGTCTTGGCTCTGTTACGCTGATAAAACTAAAGGCTATGACGGCGTGATCGATTTTCCAAAGGGGAGCCAGGATAGAAGTGTTAATTAGGAATTCTTCGTTTGTAAATACCCACCCTAAGAGCGACGGTATCTGACTGTTTCTCCAACGGGTTCCGGCTTCATATTTTTGATTAATCCCAGGTCCTCAATGAAGTTGAAGAACCGAGCTTCAGTAGTTTTCACCTCCAGTATACGACTGTCGTACCCGATGTCAGCAGTGGGCTTCCTGTAGATGACCCCAACTAGACACCTCGAGGTGGTAGACAATCTTACTGAGCACCATATGGATTCATCAAGATTGCTAAACTCTCGGTTGTTCACTTGATGTGCCTCCAGACTGGACTGTAAATATAAGGCTACTCCACCCCAATTCCTGTATTTCTGTCATTGCGAAACAAAGACGTCCCAGGTATTTCGAGCTTTTGGTCCGTAAACTGAGATATCCAAGTTTCAGATATTCCTGTGAGATGAGCATTGTTAGCGTTGCTAAGATCACGTAACTCATCGATTTTATTTGCTAAACTCGCAGCGTTTATGCATAAGCAGTTTATGGTTTCAATTTGAAACGCGTGAGCTTCTCCTTCGTGTTTGTTTGTATGAACCCTATGTGAATGGACGTGTAGCCTAACTATACGAGGTTTTCCGAGTTAATGGTTCCTGTCCTTTACATGTTTCTTTATGATCAAGACAGTCCGCAAAGAGAATGGTCAGCTCCAGCTTGCCTTTGTGCTTGATCCTGACGTCGTGTGGTCTATCCGCGTGCATACTGATTCCAGTTGTCAATTGACGTCTATTGGTGCAAAAAGCTTCCAGAATCGCAGTCGCTATATGGTAGGATGGGAAAGTTATCTTCATTAGCCCGGGTCCTTCTTGACTAGTCTCATCGCTTGTCGAGTCAGTGTGTTTTTAAGCTTCAAGGATTACTTGATGAATTTCCGTTCCCTGATATCAGGGTTTGTGTGACTGGGGTCCGTGTTTTCCGGTACACCTTGCACAGTGATATTTCTCCCGCGGAAAAACTTCCCTCGTCATTACTTAGGGATGTTGCGGATGAGATTGCGCTCAGAATACAATGTGTCAGGTAGTATTCTTACGTTCTCATCAGATTTCAGTGAGTGACTGGCTAGTAGGATATCCTCTACGTTGGTAGCATTAGTGAGTGTTACACTTAGTAGCCTCGGGTGATTTTGATGCTTAGAGTCCTTTCCCCGAGTGATCCGTGCGACCGTAAAAGGCTCTACTCTGGGAAGTCCAAGCTTCTTGTTTGACTGTCACCAGAGCATACCGTCATTTTTGTCCTGTAAACTGAGGGGAAAATCAGGGCTGTCTTTAATGTTCATGATTATCAGAGAATCGTCACAAACCGTTATTGTTTTCCCAGGTTTTCCGGTACGTTCAGGTTCGTGACCTTGTTGATTGGAGGTCAAAGCCCGTGTTCGAATCCTAGGCTTTTTGATAACCGGACGGACATTATTGGGGGTAGAACCTACGGCCAAATCACCAGTTGATTTCCTTGCAATTCTTAGGACGTTCGGCTTCTTAGACGGTGATGCTTGTTCCTTTTTAACTTTGTTAACGGGGGCCCAATCACCTACAGAGTTTTTGGGGACGAGCGTTGCATTTAGGAACCATATGCTGGGAGACCTAAGTCTGCTGAGAGTGTTACCGTTTCAGCATGTCATCACTAGTGTTATTACATGCTCTGAAAAATGTTAATATGGTAAGAAATATTTAAACCCCTAGGTAATGCCAAAAATCTTTAGGACGTCACAATGATCGTATTATCAATCTATAAGATAAGAGAGTATCCTATACCATATTCACATATGAAGTTTAGGGGGCTTATTAAACTGATCAATTTATATGGTGATTTCATTCCAACCACCCACAACCATAACGAAAATTAAAAGGTCTGCCAAAAATTTGAGATAAAGTAATACACATGACACCAAAAGCAAAAGATGCATTGAAAAGACTGAGAAGATTTTTTGGTACTGCAAACCTTTTTGCGTGTCTTGACCATGAGGCTGCACTGGTTCTTATGAAAAGTGACATGAATTATTGCCACTTCTGTGCAACAAACAGTAAGTCAATAGCTAGAATATTTCACGAAGCCATTGAGCATTTTGCAATCTCTCTGCAGCACTTTCAGTCCATATATCTATCTGTCGGATATTTTCTCGGAATAGTGGGAGGCATATCTCCCACTCTACTCGCTGATCATAAGCTGACTCGGAAATTTTGACTAGTAATCATAAGGATAAGTTGCAACAAGAAGCCTGATATTTTAGACTGGTCTCTCAATCGGCTATTTTTTAACTCCTGTTTCTATATTCTTGACTTTATTCAAGATCAAACGCTCTATTTATGACACATAAGTATCAAAAAGAAGCCAATTCAAGTAGCCTTGATTTACCATGAGCGTTTCGCCGCTTTAGCACTTATTCACACAATATCAATCCAGACCTAGTTAGTTTTTACAGACATCGCTTTGTGAAAGCAGTCAGTCGAGCGTTATGGTTATATCCGAGAGTACCCTTACGCGGAGTCAATTCTCCACTTGTTTGTAGACGTAGCTATTTCACATTAACCTATCTCAATGTTGTTGCGAATTCGCTGTCCAGGCCACTGTAATCTGCTGTCTTCTGGATGCTCCTACCAGACATTTATGAAAAAAACACCTCTCATCTTTATAGTATCCATAACATCCAAAACGGTATTTATTAAATTGTTTACAGAATATTTCAAGAGAGGATTGTTAAAGAAATGGGCGATTTCCGTAAGATACAGTTCGAAGCACAGTTTTTATGCTGACTTTAATTATCTGCATGCACCAAAGTGTCTCACGCTTATCTGCTAGCCAACTACTAAATAAAAGCATACTATAACTTAATATACTGCTCTCTTATTAACGTGTTTTATAGGGCTAAATTTCAACATATATCCTTCGCGCTGAACTAATTTTACGGGGTAGTTATATCAACTAATACTTATCGCAGCTTTTCATATGATGTTCTGGATCTTGAAAAAACTAGCTGTGCATACCTCTGAGTCCTTCCTGCTGATTGGTTGCCGAAGGTCGTCCAAACATATTGGTTGGTTGTAGGACGTAAGCATCCTCGTGATACCGAGTTACATGTATCGTGACGGCCGTTATGTCTTCGTCGTAAGTGTAAAAATCCTATCATATACGCATTTAACATGACAATAGTTCGCCTCCCCTGAGTGTAAATTTGGCTCTTCGATGACTTCATTTGGATATTCACTGTATCTTCCGGCTCGCATGAGATTATCACATTCGGATGTAACTATTATCATTGTTCCTTTTGTTGATACTACATAATTCCTCACTGATTGTCTTAATTTTGTTTTACCGAAGCATAATGGATAATCGTCCCTTGTTTCATTAATCTGATCATCCATAGAGAATAGAAATGGCGCCTGATGATAGTTAAAAACGTGTCTAGCTGTTGGAACTTTCGACCGCTCAACTGGGTAAGTTATCAGGGTACTATGAAATTCCTTCTTGGTGGACCACACTTAGTGATATTGGCTTCTTACCGCACTATCTTTGAAGTTGAACATATAATTGCTGAGAAACTCAAAAGTGGTGAGCGCGGAAGATACTAATCGTTATAGAATGGAAGGGCCATGCAGTCGTGGTCACCATGTGTAACCTCTCGCTTTTTTTACAAAACATATTACTCCCTTCCTAGACCAAATGTGCTGTTCAGAAATCCTAGAGTTTATATTGATGGTTATCGCAATAGGACCAGGAAGAGTAGACTGTGATATGACTTCTAAGTAAGACCCTATTAAGACAAATCCACCTTTGGGATTAAGTCTGTGGCCTTGTGCCCTATTAATATATAAAGTAATGATACCGCCAATTCGAGAACAGTGATTTATCGACCGGACCAATAACGCATAAAACCCTTACCAGCAGTCTAGAGCGCTTATCGGTCCTTCTTCCTGCCTGTTGATTCCAGAACACAAATCTCAGCCTCCGCATTATGAATCATATATTTCAAACATACTGGGTTTATAGAAAAACCAAACAGACATCACACCATAAAATAGAAAATAACATTTGTACAAGATCTAGCCAAAAGAGGCTGTGAATGTGGGAGACTGTAATTGATAGAATGGGCATAACTTGTCAACGCTAAATTTGTATAATAATATTTTGTAGGTCAAAATAAAGTCTATGATAAGAGGAATATGGGTATATATATATAATAAAAAGGTATGTATAATATTAATCGACAAACAGATCCCAACATTTACTATTTATTATTCTCGTCGGGATATAACACTTTCTATCATTATAGTGCCAAGGATAAATGTAATAATACCAAACAACACCATAATTTTACACACTCTTCTCTTTGACAATTAACTCGTCTTGTATTTTACCTTAATTATAACTTTCTGCTCGATAGCAGAATTTCGCCTTTTACGATTGCCTGATTGCACCAAACTCATTAAGCACACATCGAACTGAAGGAATCTCGCCGCGGAACTATTCAGACATTCGCGTAATTTTCATACGTATATTCAAACCCATATAATACCGTCTATTTTGGCAAAGCTGTTATCTTTTGATTTACCGGTGTTCTGTTAGTGAGCAACAGATAAGCCTAGAAGTTATGCAGAATATTCCGGGATCTCAGGGAATTCCAATGTAACAATACTCATAAAAAATTCCTCCTTTAATGTTCGATAGACTAAAGGAAAAATAGTAGCTCTGGAGTTTGGATGGAATCTCCAACGCAAAATTCAGTTCATGTCTATTACTAGGAAATCATCAATAAGTATAGTTATCGATCATCCCACGCAGATACAAGGAGGAGATATATCGCCTGTACTATTCAGATTACTAATGTGACCGACATATTTATAGAACTGTATTACAAGATCAAAATATGAAGAAAGAATTGTACAAAAGCATCGACAACTGTTATTCGCAGACATAAGTGGTATGATTAAACCAAATAAACGTTGGACAAATAACGAAGATATCCAAGATTTAAAGCACACCTATTTTCCAATAATATTTCATCTGGATTGTTAGCATTGAGTTCAGGATTATTGATTCGAGCTGTAAAGAGAAGAGTGAAATTGATGTAAATTCTAGAAACAACGTATGCTTAACCTATAAAAGACTAGACTAATCCCTGTTTTTATAATAATAGCACGTAGAAAACTGTACAAACATAATGTGATTTCAGTAAGGTACACATGAGATGTTATTCGCCACAACATATTGACAATCACTGTTGATAGTATGCCATCTACCAAAAGATGTACACAATTCTGCAACTTTGTATAGATCTTGATAATGGATGGTAGCATGGAATATTCGTCAGTACATCATTTATCATGGGAAATTACCGAACAAGACGATCTACATCTATTAGGAAACCATGGTCACTTTCTACTTCAAAAAGGTTTCTTTTGGTATGTACTCATGTTCATGCATCTATGTTGAATTGAGAATTTTATACACACCTCTAGGGTGACTTCTTTTTCAGTTCAACATCTTATCGTGCCTTACAAGTAACCTACTTGCAGATGTTGAGAGGTATTTTGGAAATAGTTCGTAAGCGATCCAAATGGTTATAAAATCTTTTTTGAACTACGCGTCACTAAACTTATTATTAAAATGCATTATTTATACAGTGACTTTAAACTTTCAGTGTTAAAACAAAAAAATGACATTTTATTTCGCCCAGTTTCTCAACATATTATCAACTCTCCTTAGGTTTCGTGGATATATGAAGACAAGCTTTCTCTTTATCCACATAAATCTGCATTTATATGTTTAACTGGTTTTGTGTGGTAAGTTGTATTGGCAGCACAAGGAGAGTAATCTCGAAATTGATCTCTTAGTATCACCCTCCTTGATTATGAAAAAATATCAACAGAGACAGTTAATAGTTTAAGTATTGAGCATCTCGTAAGAACTAGAGAAATTGACCTGCCAGAATTCTTCTTTAAAATCAACCATAAATTCAAAAGAAGGGGTCCACAGGGATTACAAATCAGGGACTTATTTACAACAGAGGCCTTAGCAATGCACCTATTCTAGCTTAATCTGAATACATAAACCTTTCCAATCTTCCATTTTAGAGTGGTTTTAACACCGCTCCTAACTTCTATACTCAATAACCTACTGTCTTTATTGTTGTATTTTTTTCTTCATAAGTGAATTCACTATTACTAGAAAATTTAATTAATCTATTCTTCAAAATCATTAAATGAACAATCATCTCACTTGTATAAAATATTTTTATCTTAAAAACCTCTAATTAGCTGTTAGATTGTTACGTAACCTCTTTCAACATTTATACCTCCATATAATTTATCAGGCAATGCTACTCTTCACATATACAGTTTCTTAATATTCTTCAATTCGACAAAAATCTGTTATATATTAATTCTTAATTACAAGGCAACAAAACAATTATTACCTTTAAACTTGGTAGACTGTAAAAGGGCACCACGATTTGAAGCAGAACGTTCGAGTGCTGATAGTAAACGAATATTCCATAAATAAGGAATTAAACTATCGGGACAATCTAATGTAGTATGAAGAAGTGAACCTCCACAAGATCCACGTAAACAATCCGCAGAAGTACTGTTATCAAAAGAACATGGTTGTTGGTTTATCACTGCAGTACTAAAAGTATCTATTTGAGTTATTGGCCAACCATTAGAATTTTCACCTAGACTATTAATAATTTGAATGACGTTATCCACAAGAGATTCATCAGAGGATGGTCCGAATTGTGAAAGAACAACACTTTCATAAAATAATCCAAGATATTGAAGACAACACATCATACGAAACACCAACTTAATAACATGAAACAAAAACACAAAAATAAGATTATATTTTTAAATGACATCGGAATAATGAAGAGTTATGCATAAGTTTCGTAGTGTTGTATCCTCTGAGTTGAATGGTTTAATTATGAAATTTCAATTTTTATGATTGATAGTGGAAGCAGAATCTTACTTTGGATAAAAGCTAGTAATAAATTAGTCCATTTTCACGAATAAGTTAGTGATATCATTCACCAGCTTACATCTATTGTAAATTAGCCTAGAATAGCAATTGAGATTTCACAATTAAGCCATCCATCTTAAAGAGAGCAATATCATCCCAGGAATTAAATGTAGACACTAGTATTTTAGGGAAAGATAAATAGTACATGACAGTAGAATCTAGAATGTGAATTTTGTTCTATTTAGGACTTTTCAGCTCGATGTACCTACTACCCTTCGCTTTAAGCGACATCGTGTTATTCACTTAGCTGTTGATTCTAAACAGCCACTGGTTTGTAAAACTGAACAGATGAAATGTATAGATCTAAAGTCCACAATAAAGTGTTTACCTTAAAGATAATACATAATAATGTGTAGATGTATGCATCAGATGTTAGTATTTTAACTGATCACTGTATTCATAATCAACCTCCTTCAATTCCTATTTTACACACTAATACTATGTAAATGAATATGTAGAAAAGATTATCATTGAGACAAAGACATCATAAAAACGATAAAGTCGATTCATTTCCACAACCAAGTGAATATAGCTTATCACACGTAAAAGCAGTAAGTTAACAAAATTCATATATAATAATTAACACTCACCCAACAAAATCTAAATACAAAGGGATTGACTTGTGGGAAGTATGGATGAGGAGAATCTATTAAATCCATTTAAACAACTAATTAATAGTAACTTTCTGGTTAAAATTTCACTCAAAAGGAAGCATAGAACTAAAATATATATCTACTGTGGGCGCTCATTCAAAATTGTTATACAAATTTTTAGCGTAATTATATCAGCTACTATTTAAAAACAGAACTAGATACAACATAACAGTGTTTTCAGACAATGAAGTAATGGAAGTTTGAAGAACTCATTTTCTAAATGTTATATCCCGCCGAGAATAATGAATGGTAACTGTTGAGATCTGTTTGTGAACTAATACTATATATATATATATATATATATATATATATATATATATATATATATATATATATATATATATATATATATATATATATATATATATATGAACCATTACAGTAATAAAATCGTAATACCTCTTTTGTAAAAAAGACTGACAAAACATTCTTTGAGAATGCGTCCGTGACAACACTACCAAATTCGAGATATGTTGACAAAGCTTTGCGGTAATTTTTCACGAAAAATTCTATTTCACCACGTAATATAAGCCAATCTATTCTTTCAGGTCGAGCAGTTAAACCCCAATTTAAGAAATAATTCAAGTGATCACATAACGATTTCTCATTGATCTATAAATATAAATGTAATTACAAAAATTGGTGTATCTTTTAGAAAAAGTTAAGACAGTAAAACTATACTATATTACCAAATCGACCAGATATTAGACAGCGCTTCCTGGACCTTTGTGTGAAGTCAAAACACGATCGGATAGCTTGTACCTTATGAACAGGTAGATAATAATTGTCGATATTTAATTATTAAGACGATGTGACTAATGTGACGTGTTATATAAGCCACTATACCAAAAACATCAGCTCTTTGTGCAGATTGCATCTAAAATGCTAATTAATTAATGACCCTAGTGATCGATGAGTTCTAGAACATAGTCAAAGGTGGTTTGGGCAGCTAGAAAGTATTCACAAACTAACCAACTACTTTTTCGTTTGTGATTATCTATAACTCCATATGTCTGAGTTCTGATAAATCTTGACACAAATACATCTAAACTGTCTTCTTCATTTCATTTCAACACATAGATATTGGTGCAAGGAGGCACCAAATACATATGCGCCACACAGATCTCATTTGATATGTGTGAGGGCTGTGATACTGCTCGGGTGCCCAAACCGAAGCAGGTGGTTTTCTTAGGGGGCCACACCCCGAGCCTTCGACCTGAACGTCTGACCCACAAGGCAGTGGAGCATCGTGAGGAGATGCAGTCCCATGGTAGCCGGTGATCAACGATTGGTTCATACGCCATTTGTTCCTTCAGGATACTGGAGCCCATGTGCACCATTGGTTTGGAGTCCGGTTAAAGCGCCGGACATTCGCTTTTCGTCCTCTCATTTTCGTAAACAACACCCCCGCCACGTGAAGGCAGTGAGTAGGACTTCCCTGGCAGAGGCTGTATACGCGTGGCCATGTGTGAGCATTTTGAGAGGGAGAGCGGACTCTCCCCACTCTCGGCTTCTTAAAATAATGAGTGGACGCGGTAAAGGTGGAAAAGTTCGTAGTAAGGCTAAGACAAGGTCAGCCCGCGCTGGACTTCAATTCCCTGTTGGTCGTGTACATCGTCTTCTACGCAAGGGTAATTACGCCGAGCGTGTTGGTGCAGGTGCTCCAGTCTATCTAGCTGCAGTTCTCGAATACCTGGCTGCGGAAGTTTTGGAGTTAGCTGGCAATGCCGCTCGTGATAACAAGAAAACTGTCTTCTTGGCCGGTTTCGATAACCCAAACTAATTCTCCATGTTAACTGGAACACTAGAAAGGGAGGTGAGAATTGCAAATAAAAGCTTTAATTCAAGGTTAGTTTATGTACAGAAAAATGAGGGTATTTACAGTCATATGAGACCTAGGACTCCTGGAACCACATTAAATATGGCAGCAGCGTAGGTAAATTTCCAATTAAAATCGTGGGACATGATTCTGCATTTGTTGAGTATTTCTGCAAAGATTCTATTGAACGCTGATTGGATATAAAATTTCATTCTGTTTCTGGGTTTCTAGGGGCTTTGACGAGGGACATTTTGGTATTTTTTGATACGTCAACTAATCCTTTTAAAACGTTTTATAGATCGTAATGTTATTACTTTTTACTTATAATTGTTTCAGAACTAAACGCTGTCTTCTAATAGGTTAATCAGTCGTTCAAGGTAGTCTTCGTAGTGTAGTTTTACCAAAAAGACTATTAGAGATAAGAAGAATCTTGTTTGTTTATATTTTATTGGTTTATTTTATTGGCTGTGATAATCACTAGAGCACTTAACTGTACTTATGTGATATTCGTTTGAAATAATAGGTACCTTATACACTATTCTTGGCTTTACTTATTACTTATAATTACAAAGGACTACCCTTCACATAGGTTCACGATTGTCATGTCTTTTAGTGCCGGCGAACTTGTAGCCGTTAAAGTGAGTCTCGAACAGATTCGACTATATCAATTCCATATAATATATCAAATACTATTAATTATTCTAATCTTACCTCTAAATACACACAACGCTGACTCAGTCTGACTTTGATGAATCCTGAGATAATCAACGGAAATTGTACTCTTTTGATAGGCATGATTGGTTTCTGAAATTATTCTTCTTATTCCATTTCTCATTATTATTTAGTACGCGCTTTACTCTCTTTTTTTGATTGATTGAATTCCCCATTAGTGTAGAGAGATTATGGAGATCGTTGAATTTGATAGTTTATTTCACGGACTGATTTCAGTCAGAGAAACGTTAGACAATATTACCACGATAGTGATTAAAGTTAAATACGTAGAACATTGTATGCTAACTTGATAGACTGTGGATTAAGCACACACCGAAAGATTTGAATGTCCCGGGTCCGATCCCCAGAAGACTCATACTGTTTAGAAATTTCATACGAAAACGAAACGGCTGTCCAGTGCTTCCATATTCGTGTTGGTTATCTAACTAAGATCAGTTCATTATATAACTTTAAATTTACTATTCATGTATTAATTGCACCAATTTACGTTTTAGAATGAGATGAATTATGAACGAATAAGTTTTACTTGTTTTATGTAGTATTATGACAAGTGTTTTGGTAACTAGCTTGTATGCAAAAGAAACATAAGTATTTGATGAGTGACAATATTAATTGCTGCATTCACCGAGAACTGGAATACAAGAGTTGAATTTCTTTATAAAACTGTAGCTTTCTAGCTAAAACAGTGTGATGTGCGGGCGAGAATGATCATGATTGGTTGTCTGCTTAGTCAGACACGTAGATAGTCTGACAGCGTCAGACGAGTTATATATTCCCTTATCCTTATTATTGTGACTCACTTATTATTGATTGTTGTTGGATTGTGTCGGTTTTTGGTGTGGAAATATATTTACGTTGTGGTCAGGCTAATTACGTGTTCTTGAGCTGAGTTGTGCTGAAGTCCTGTAGAATAGATACTGGGAGGGAATCTAGTGTAGATATTCGTCTAAAGCAATTTAACATACCATACGTGTAACGTGGAAACCCAACCGTTATAACATTAGACGAAGTAAAACCGAGCGTTATAACACAATGGAAGTCCAAAGACTACATCAAAAATTGAACATTCAATCCACAGCTAGACAATAATAACACTAATTTCGTCACACACGAAAAAAAATTATGTCATCAAGCCAATTACATAAACTGTATTCAGTATATAAATGAGTTATTCTGGAAAATTATCATATAAATCTATTATAAATATAACATGTATATAAATAGACTTACTGAAGAATTCGTTTCGAAGTCTAAAATCCACAGTTGTTTATCTAGAAACGACAATGTCACAGATTCATGACTGTCAGAATGATATCGTTTATTACTATTATTATGTTTTTTAGTAGTGGATAAATTATCTTTTGGTTTATCCCACCTAGAAGATCGAAATTTAGTAGTAGACTGTGAATCAGTAGAAGTGTTAGTAACACTGGTGGTGATGGTAGTAGTTGTCCCTTTTGTTGTAGTTAATGTATCTTCATTCACTTGTTCATCATTTTTAATATTTTCTACATTATTAACTGTATTAAAACAATTAATTATTTGTTCTAAAATTTGTAAATTAAATTTTCCACAAATTTGATGTATAATTTGAGCAAACCCAATTACTAAATAATCTAATAATTGTAATCCAATAAATGAATAATTAGAAAGTATACGTTTATTATCTAATGGAAATTTAAGTCCAACAGCAGACATTAAAAGTGAAATTTCATCTATTGTTGCTAACATTTCACCTATAATGTATAAACTAGACAAACTGATCCCAGAACGATTAGATAATGTATCTGTAAATAAATAAATAAATAAAAACTTTACACACAATATTAATAATGAAATGTAATATTGGAAAATATACAAACTAATTGTCGAATTAAAAACACTGTATTCTTCATAGATTGATTTTAGTTAAAGTACTATAGAAGACTAGGAAGCATTGGATAGATTATTTGTTCTAGATTGAGACTTTTTAAAAGTAAACCTTCACAACGTCACCAAGAATTGAATCCAAGATACTCAGTTCTTACGGTGAACGTCTAACCATTAGAACCATTGAATATATAATTAACGGGACAATTTCAAATTCGGTCAATTTCTGTAATGAATCCTTACAATTGTCCATTGTTAATGAATGAAGTTGTTTTGGCTTCAGACATTACTCGACTCCATCTATTCAGTGGTATCCTGATTTTCAATGTTACCTGGAATGATACCAATCTGTGACAAATATAATCTATGCATTAAACTAATTATGACGAATCCATTCAGTTAATTGTAAAAACGATTTATCAAGATTATGCATTGAGTCTTATTGTGAAGTGAGGTCTACAATTTTGAAAAAAATTATTATTTTAGATACTTAAGGATGAATAAACTATATTATAAAATGATTATTTTTTGTAACAGTAATCTATAAGCATCTACAATCTGTTCTTCTTAAATTTACTTAGTGCCAGAATTATATAAAGATTTACAAGTCAATCACCAATGCTGCTTGATTGTTGCAACCCGGATCTGGCTATGATGCACGAGTTGACTCAACATCTAGGCTGCTAAGACGATAAACGAAAGTCAAAGATTTGCTCATCCTTCCAACCAACAACACCACAGAGAAAAATATCCAGATATCTATAAGTGTTTTGCTATGTTCTTGGAATTCAACCAATCAGGATATGAGTGTTATAGGCGCGATTTAAAAATTCAAATTGATAATTCATAAAACTCATCTTGACTAATTCTTGTATAATTTTCAAAAAACAATTCATTTCCCATCAGTAATAAATAAACTGATGATCAATCATCTAACAATTAATCGAAGTGAAACAGAAAATAGTTAACATCATTCATAAAACACTTTTGTGAACATATATGCTAACCTGGATGGTAATTTCGAGAACTGCGTTGGTGTTGTTGTTGTGGCACGGATTGTTCCGATCCAGATAATGCTAGATTATTTATTGTATCTATAGAATTATTTGCAGAGACAAAGCATCCATGAATAATTAATCCATAAAATTCATTTATAACAGTTTTTAATCTATCTGCATCACCAAATTTAACGGTAGCGCTTAAAATATTTTTGATTGAATGGTTAGAATTTTGTTTTTCTGAATTTACATGCGAGTTGGTTGATGATGATGATGTGGTTGTTGAATTGGAACTTTCATGAGACGATGATGATGAATGTAATACTTCATGAAAATGCAAAAGAATACGAATTAAATCTAAGGAACCAGCACATGCGACACAAAATGAAATACTTCCGGAAGGTAGTGAAATAGATTTTGATGGAATCGACATGGGATACAAGAAATCACATTCCTAAAACAGGAACAGGAAAGAGTATACAAAGTGGGAAATTTTTCTTACTATTATCATGGACACACTGTTGTTACACTTTAAGTTATTAGTAATGGAAATATAATAAACCAATTTAATGTTTCAAATGGACAAGGCTTATATATGTTACACACTGATAAAAATCAATATACAATATCCAGTTGTACTAATCAGCAACAGATCTATTTTCCATTATTTGAATCCCTACTGGAATAGGATACTAGGGAAAGATACCAAATCGGTTGAGGTTGTAATCTTCATCAACGGAAATGATTTAAGGCATTCATCAAACATTTTCGATTACTACCTACTTCAAGGTGCGATGTCATTCAATGTAGGAATATGTTGGAAAAAAGTTAGAGAATAAACCGAGATACGGCATTGGTCCATGAAACTTTTAATTGCTGATCATATCCAAGTTGGTAGGTACAGACTACTCGATTAGGGTCTGCACGGTTACTGTGGAAAGTAGTTGAAGATATTAAGTGATATGGCTTAGAATCGACAACGATGGTGTAAATGCATCGGCTCTTTATCTTTTCCTTAGGTCTTCAGTTGAAGTATTCCTTCATGCATATTTTCAGATCCCATCTTCTTGTACCACACTTTCAATGTTTAGTCTTTCAAATTATAATTGCTACTACATTCCTTTGCTATTCACCTTGGTTAATTTTATCTCATCCTACCTTTCTATAGAAGAACTAGGACCAACGCACATTTATACCAAGCTCTATGTTGATTATAACTGAATGAATAACAGACTTGAATGTTTTTTCTTCAATGCTGAAAATGAAAAACTGAATACAATACTCAGCATTCCTTACAATAAATCCAGTACTATTTTCAGTGAAAAGTTAAAATAGGAAATTTCTATAGAACGATAGTAATCTGTTGCACTGATTTCCAGTGACTGATGAAACATCATTCTTCAGATGAACATAAACTAATGTAATTCATAACCTAGATTTATTGTACATAAGACATCATAAATGAGTGGAAAGACACTGAGAAAAATGAATTTTAATATGACGAGAAATTCGTCTTTACCTCAGACCATAAATAACAAATACGTTAGTTTAATCCGTTTATAGTAGTTTACTTTACTTTCTGAGTACTGCACAACTATGACTCAGTAATATCAACACAAATATATGCATACATACAAACTGTGTTGAAGATCAGTGTGACATCAATTAAATTCTTAATCTTTAATAAATGAACGGATTATAAAATTCATAATCAAGCAACTAAGTGGCAGTCTTATAAATAACTAGCAGATTTAAACTGAGAAACTAATGTTCATGTACTCATCCATTACCCATAAGCAAGTAATATTACATCGACAAGCCTATTTTAGTAATACTTTCAAGCTGAAATACAGTAACCTTAAGACAAAAATGATATCATTCACTGAAAGCAGAAATGGATGGCAGCTAGCGGTAGGATTCAGGACTTGTCAGATCAATGGACCTGGATTGGAGATTTGATGCTCACTTCAGGACTTCAATCTAGTACCACTGGCTTCAAACGCCATCATGTTATCCACTTAGCTACTGATTCCAGGTAACCATTGGCTCGCGAAATGGGGTGAAATTTAATTTCTTTGTACTGTTCGTTTGAATCTTCCGATCGATGTTTAGGACTGCAATTGATCGATGAGAAGATCCGAATAAACAATACAAATAGATATCATTTACTGTTTCGTAAGATAAAAATTAGGAGTATAAAGGTAAAACCATAAAATATCCGAAAGTAAAACGACAAGCATTGTTCCATTTAAATATTGTCAATAACCTGATACATAACTACACACAATATGACTAAGTTTGTTACTCATTACTCTACACAGTGGAGATATACCCACATAAAAACACTAACAACGAAGTATAATTTTTTTTACTAAATACAAGCATATAAATATATATATATATATTGTTTCGAAGCATGTTATTTGCACGAGGTCTAGTTGTACTAATTAGGTACTGGAATCAAAGCAGGTGGAGCGGGGATAGCCCATGTTCAAGTGTTTTAACCACCAAGTCCTTGACCCACTTAAATAACCAATAAAGTATTCATTTCGAGGAAATTAAGGTATGACACTACCATTAATACTACTTCATAATAAGGTAGAGATTCGTGTGAGTGTTGCTAAAATCGAAAAGTATGTCGAGCAGTATTCGAACCTGCAACTTGGTGACTAAAAGTTGAACTCCTCAACCATCTATCTAGTGATTCACTATGATAACTCTACACAGTTCAACAGATATTATATTATAGTAAACATTGAAAATTTATAACTCACCTTGACCATTAACAAGAAACAAGTGGCTGCAGTAATTAGCTCCTTAGACAAAGCAATCAAATTCATGGATTCCATTTTTGTTTCTAAAGAATTCGCATTTGATGATAAACCTGCAGCATAACACAGACAAATTTTAACTCGTCTAATTAAATCATTTAATGATACTTGTCCAGGATGAAGAGTTGATTTTATAATTGAATGTGACTGATTATTATTTCCACCGAAATTATTAAATGAAGACGGATTCAAGAATTCCTTATTTTATTGTTTTAATTTGAAAAAGACAATAACATTTAAAATATATTTATCATAATTTACAATTAATTGAATGAACTTAACATCACTGAATAAGACAAGTTAAATAACAGATTTTTCTAACGTATACACACATAAATGAAACAATATCTATGAATCATAAACCTAGGAGTTTATTCCAACTGTCTTCAACCAGGTAATCAAAAGATATATTAACACCCTTATAAACCTGGTAAAACTTTCTATTCGATTATTAAAATAAGGAGAACTAAACTTGAGAAAGATGTAAAAATGGAGAACAAACAAAATCAATCAACACGCCTATATTGTCAAGGTCTTACTTAAGTTTATAACGAATACCTTAAAATATAAAACCATCATCATTAACATTGTTTAAAAAGAAACTGAATAACACTTAATAACTTGTAGCGAGGTGAGTTCGGATAACTGGAAAAATAGAGGTAATATTATCAAGAATTGGTGTGACTCAAGTTAAGTCGACACACAAACACAATGGCAGATTAGGGTTGTGGGTGAGCATTATTGAGACCCATACTAGGACGAAACAAACTGTTGTGTTTCCTATTTTCCACTAGTTTTCTAACTAAGGTCACGTTGCTTCTACGGCAGTCATGTAATTAGTGATTGAACACTGTAACACGCGCTGTAACCTTAAAATCTCATCAATAGATTCGTTTATCTTACCGGAAACTGTAAGCCGATGCCGAATATTATTAACTTAGCAGGTTCACACCATGAGGAAACACTTAAACGCCTTCAAAATCCATAACTCACATATATATAAAGGGAATTCTATGAACCCATTCAAGAGAGATCTAATGCTTTAAAACTTGGGAAACTACGAAAAAGTAACACTGGCAAATAGATGAATTTCAACAAACTTACCAGTAAGTCAACCAATAGTAATTCATGTCTGATACCAGCACGAATCCATTGAAAAGCATCGCAAGGACGTGATTGTTTTCCAACTACATGACCAGATGTTGTTGTAACATGATTAACAGATGATGACGATGGAGGTGGTATGATAGGATTAATTGACGCCAGATTATTTAACGCAGAAAGTAAAAATGCCCTAGCTCCTGTGAACGGTGACATTTCATGACGTATTATGGACGAACCTTTAGCCAATTGTATTAATACTGTAATCCCCCACATAATATTTCCGGATGATGATAACAATAAATCGATTGGATTAGTTGACTTAAAGTGAAACACAAAAATAACAAAAATAATGTATATTTTAACACTATGACGATATTATTTGATTATAGATTTATGACTAGTTATTCGGTTATCCAAACACAAGGTAGAATCTGGTACGTTTATAGTTCGGTTGAAGTTGCCACACTTCATTTAGCATAGGAGAGATGAAATTGTCAAGGCAAATCCCGGAGAAGTATAAGTAGTAACAGTATTAGTGGTAAGAGAAAAGACAAGGTATCGACGATAATGATTCAAGAAAATATAAATCTGTGAAATAAAAAGATCATGAGGAATTTAACAAATTGGGATCTAAAAGACAAAGAGTGAATGCATTTGAGCCGCTTAAAAAGATTTTGAGCCATGTCATTCAAGGTCTCTAACCATTGGCTACGATAGTCACGCGGGCCCCAACCAAATAGTCTACGAACATGGTTCAAACTAGAAGTTAATAACTTCAAGCACTGAGTCCATGTTTTAGTTTGGCCGCCCCTAACTTTCTTCCAACCATCACCAGTCGGCAATGTGCGTCCTGGTAAACGGTGTTCAGGCATACGTAACACGCGGTCCAACCATCTCAGTCGATGAAGATTCACAACCTCACTAACTGACTTACCAACATTCCCTAATATCCTGAGTCTAACCTCATTATTACTTACCCGGTGATCCTAGCAGATGCGAGCAATATTTCTAAGACATCTGTGGTCAAATACTAGTAGCTTAATGGCCACGCTTCGCAGCCGTAAAGTATAGCAGAATGAACTGCTGCGCAGTATACTCGTTCCTTAATTAATAGACGGATATCTCACCTTCGCCATAGATGACGTAAATTTGCAAAAGCCAAACGAGCTTTTCGAATCCGTGTAGATATTTCGTCAGGCACCAACCAACCCATTAGTGCTGATTAGACCTCTAAAATAAGTGAAGTTGTCAACGTGTTCGACTACTTCCCTCCCTATCCTCAATTCAGGTGTTAACGCAGGTCAGTCGTGAAGCAACAACATTAATCGTCAGGATAGATGGTGGTGGAACATACGTAACACAAGACGCAATCACCTCAATCGATGAAGACTTAATACGTCATCAATTATTCTGCCATCCTAATCTAGCATTCCATTCCTGAACCCGAGTTTTCTTACTCGGTGGTCTCAAAATACACGAGAAAAGTGCTTCGAAGATACCTACTATTGGACATTAGTAACGTGTGAAGACCCAATTCTTAGAGAACTGCCGTACAGTAAACTCCTACTTCGGTTGATAGACGGATTTCCCACCCACGACACAAGTGACGCAATTTGGCAAAAGCAAATCGAGCCTTCTGAGTACGTGCAAATGTTTCGTCAGACACCAACCCATCGGGACTGATGAGACTCCCAAGATAAGTGAAGCAGTCGACACATTCAGTATTGAAGGAATGATGTAAATCACTTGCAAAGTGCAGATGTATAAATCTGGCTATTCGGTACACTTTTTAGCGTATACTTCACTCATGAAGTCATCACTTATTGAACCGAGAGCTATGTTGGTAGGTGCAGACTCCCTGGTTGAGATCTGAGCGATTATCGGTAACAGTGGTTAGAAACTTTGAGTAATACAGTGGTTCAGAATCAATCACAATGGAAAACATTCATTCCCTCTGTGTTACGTTAGACATTGACTTTCAAAGTTATTTAATATTTTTTATACCGTGAACCAACTTTATCTTCTTAAATCACGTTCTTTATACCTGATATTTTCGTAATAACACTGATACTATTACTGCTTTCACTATACTGGTATTTATTTCGCTGTGTTGATGTTGTGTGACCACTTGAACTGATGCACATGTATGCTACGTTCTATCTCGCATACATCGACAACAATAAATAGACATAACGTATTAGGAATGTATTAACTTATTGAAAACAACTTGGTTCATTTGTTAGAGAAAAAAGTACACCAATGAAATAGATTAATACATAGTAACTCACACTGTTCTCATTGGTAGGATGTGGTCCGACTATTTCCAGTGAAGCTAAATAATGTAAAGATGGGAGCCACGAACCATTTAATTCTAAAATTCCATTTGGTGTCATACCTGACCTTAATAGATAATCGACTGACATATTTACATCGGTTGGATTTCTTGTTATCAAAAGATGACGTATTACTTGAAGATCGCATACAAGTGGGTTTTCTCTAGTAAAAGTTTGAAGTGATTGATGAATAAAAGGTCCATGTCCACCAGTTACACGGGATTGTGGAATAGACATATGAGGAAATGATGTTGATGGAGACTGATGCTGATTGGCTAAGCTGCGCATATCCACATCACCAACAATCCCAAATGGGGATCCGCCTCTGGATACCTGTTGTCTGAACGATGTAGTATTTTGATATATCTCATAATTTGCCCAGAATCCAAGTCCGAGAGAATTTAAGCCATCCGGATCTACTTGATATAAGTTCGAATCAAGATCAATATCTAGATTAGGTAGGTCAGAAAGAAGGTCAGGAATAAAGGCACAAATAGGGTTGGAGTTTACTTCCGTTTCTGACGAACTTCCAGAATTTACTGCTTGGAAGATAGACTGGATATATTTTCTGCAAGATTCTGGTAAGAAATCCATCTGAATAAAAAAAGTATATGACAATACATGTATAAAATGAACCATCTCTATACGAATGTGATCCAAGCAAACTCCACAGTGTTGCTTTTACGGACTTGTGTGGCCTGTGGAGCAGGTGAGATATCCGTCTACCAAAAATAGAACGAATGTACTAGGCAAAGAATGAGAATTTTTTCAATCCACTGAGGTGGCTAAAGCATGTGTTACTTATTTTAGTTGGTGTAGAAGAGGTAAGTTGAACAAAGGCTAGCGGCGGCCAAACTGAAGCTTGGTATCAGTCTATAAAGTCATTGATTATTAAACTGAGCCGTGTTGGTAGGTGCAGACCACCTAGTTAAGGTGTGAACGGTTATCTTTAACAATGGTTAGAAAAGTTGAGTAAAATACTGAATATATTTTACTAACATTGATACTATCAGTAAATAAAAAACTTTAGTATTTAAATCAATAATCTCATCCCACTGTGTGTATGTAGTTTATTTATTTATTTGAACACAAATATTGGTACAAAAAAGCACCGAATTCATATGCGCCACACAATTCACTTGATTTGTGTATGGGCTATGATACTGCTCGAGTGCCCAAAACCGAAACAGGTGGTTTTCTTAGGGGACCACACCTGGAGCCATTGACCTTAAGGTCAAATCTACAAAGCAGTGGAGTAACTTAAGGAGATGTAGTCACATGGTGGCCGGTGGCCAACAACAGGTTCATACTTCATTTGTTTCCTCAGTATTCTGGAACCCATGTGCACGATTGGTTTGGAGTGAGGGTTTTCCAACTCGCCTAGGTGGACCCTCCATGTCCACTAACCCGGTTAAAGCGCCGGATATCCGCTTTTTGTCCTCTCAATTTCGTAAACAACACCCCCGCCGCGAGAAGGCTGTGAATAGGACTTCCCTGACAGAGTGGCTGTATACCCATGGCCATATGAGAGCATTTCAAGAAAGGACTGACTCTTACTACCCTCGACCGTACCAGGGCATTTGGAGGCAACTTGAAGCGATATATATAGATGTCATGTTCTCCACTTTTGCAGAATCATTCATGTCAGTGAAACGGTAAATTATTTATTATTGCCCTTATATGTAATATATGGATATTATCATTACATATGTATATTACACTAGCTTTCGAAATAAGAATTCCCAGAATGATAGATTTTAGTAATTAGTTTTTGATAATCAGACTTTTATGATGAATGAAAACACAAAATACGTGAATTAAAATCCAGAGATAACTTTCAAATTTATTGGTTAAATTCAAGAAAATACACAGTAGTGGTAACTCTTAGGAAAGGGATGTTAAAGGTTACCGACATTTATTTGAATATTCACTTTCATGAGTTAATCCTCCCGATATAAAACGGATCTGAAATTATCCATTCTTTCCAGCTTTCTTCTGTCTTCTGATTTTGCGACTATGGGATCTATACATTCGAGTGCCGTACCTGTATACCGTATTATGCGTTAATCAAGTAGCGAACATAACAGTTACAGAACACAAGATTAAGCGCAAAATGTTCAACAATAAGATAGGATCATAGCACAATGATACTAGTACAGGGGTGATTATCAAAATAAAAACTAACAAACGTAAACTGTGTTTTTTGCCTTAAATGAGGATAAGCGAAACAATAACAATCGAAAGAAGTAAGATACTTTTAACTAGCGAGTTAACAGACTTACTAATTTATGTGATACAAGTGTTTTTAATAAATCTTGATAATTCTTTTGTATTGAATTTAATTCATAATTCGATTTAGGAAGTGGTTTATGCACTAAATTACCAAGTAAACAAATCCCTTCTTGTACCAAATATCTTACATATTGACATATAATAATAAATTGAGACGAAGACGATAAGTTCGAATTTTTAGTAGACAGCTTTTCCATTATAGAAGTTAAACAGTCAAACAGAAATTCTCGTCCAATTATTACATCGATAAATGGAGGAGAAAATGATGATGATGATGAAGAAGAAGAAGACAATGAAGACGATGACCTGTGTTCTTTTTTCGTTGAACTTTCAGAATTTCTCTGTGGAATATTCATTAACAATTCAGTTGATAATGAAAGTGGCAATTCTATAGATTCAGACATTAGTCGATCAACTGTATTACATATATGTACCTGAAAAATAAAACAATATGACGAAATATTAAATATAAAAGTAGGTAAATAAAAATTAGGGAGATGAAAAATGTACAAGGATTAACCAATGAAACAATAAATTTCGTTTTTTTAAACATACATTGCCTGAAATTCTTTCTCTTCAGTTTGAATGTTTACAGTGTGATACCTTCTTATGAAAGAAAATTCATTGATATGTTTGGCCACTCATTTTTTTAACACATCTCTATATAGAAAATAATGAACAACTAAGTCTTGTGTTTGATTTTCGGATGAGAGGCCGCAGATGTGAACTGCTAGAGTCCCATGATGAAACGAAACAACCACCCAATACTTCCAGGATTTTAACAGCCTAAATTGGTAGTCTATAATCAGATCATGGTTTGAACTATGGATACAATATATGCGTTGTATGATTAACTTTCATAAAAAAGAAATACTGTATAAAAACTAGTACATAAAATCTGTCAATCATAGTTGATATGTGGGACATAAATGTCTATCAGTTCAAATTGGCATAGTTCACATTTTCGAAGAGATGGGGAGAGTAAATTAGTAATTAATTGTTAATAAAGCAGTGACCAGTGTGATATATATCAAGTTCTTCCTAGTGTTGACCGAATTCTATAGATCAAGTTGCAGTTCATCATCACCTTACATATTTACATATTGCAATTGATGTCGAGTAATTTAGACTAGTGGATACGTTTCAACCTGATCGATAGTATTCGACCAGCACTAAGAACATCACATTGGTCATTAATCTATGATCAATCTATCACAAACATAATTCAGTCCTATAGGTCAGTCGAGGCCGAAATAGCTCAATAGTACTGTAACTAGCTGTGAGGTTAGGTGGCACAGGACTGAATCAGCTAGAGTGCACTAGTTTCCTCAAGATTACAGGTACACCTTGCTGACGAGTACCAAATAGCACGAAACCTAAGGTCTACAGGGTTTCTTGTTGGCTATCTCCAACCATCATCCTACACTGTAGGTAATCAAAAAGATATCCAAGAACATAACACATACCTTAGTGAATAGTTGATGAACTGTGTTAAAAATTGACATTTTATCATTTGATAATAACTTCTTATTATGCTTTGATTGTTTTGTAGAAGGTATATTTCGTGCAGCATCGTTTGTATCATCAAGTAAACTAGTACAATTATGCAGTTGTTTTAAGCACAAACTTTCTAATTTATTACGAACTCCTAAACTAATTGGAATATATGGATTAGATGAATCATCAATGAAAAATTGGTTCACATTCAGTAAAACTTGATAAAGATGATCTTCTATGGTAGTAAGTAATCCACTATAAACTTTAGATTCCATATTGACGGATGTTGTACCAGATGTATCCCATGGTTGAATCCAAAATATATTGATTGAATCTTTATGATGAGAATCTGATGTATTTACTTCTAATAAACGACAAAATGTTTCTAAAAATTGATTGTCAGATTGAAAAAGTGAAAATTCGTTTGAAATAATGTCTGAAGATGTGTATGATTTGCAAGCACTTAAATAAGCCTGTAGTAATTTCGGTGTAGCTCCTGCTTCATCTAAATATTCAAACTGTAAATTAGACAGTAGAAAATGTTGGTTACAATAACACGAGGAAGAAACAATGAATGATAACTTTAAGAAATTAGCAAAATTAGAAAACGTAGAAAGTGAATCTATCAAGTATGATGACACAGTTATGCCTATCAAGTTAAAAGTACAACAGTTCCATTGTATACTTTACAAAAAACAATAGAAACATAGTTTCGTCAACTTTACTTATTTTAAACAAAAAATTGGTAATAAGGTAACATAAGCATGTTCTCCAAAACTTCAGTAAAAAAGAATTTCTATTTTATCTTCATACACTTTAAATTGCTTTTACTAAAGTATTTCCTCTAAACTTCTCCAATAAATCCTATGGTCTAGCGTAGAATGGTGGTTCATATGCAAAAATATTGGACTTTCAGACTTTAGGTCATAGAATCGAATGCTGCATAGAGCACTACGGGAGTCTGGTAATAGAAACGCATTATTCGTTCCTACATATTTATTGACTACATATTTACTGACTTTGTACCAAATTAAGGGAATATATCCCAATTATCGAAACTTCAGCATTCTCTTTTATATGTATGCTGTCTTTACTAGACCAGGATAAAAACTAAAAAAATTCTTCATTCTGAGACTAACCGGTTGGTCTAATATTTTGTCATAAGTATACGCAAAAACTGATATATTTGTGATATCTGGAGATATGTAAAGAGTAAGTGAATAATGAATTATCTAAACTCTGAAAAAGCAATACAAACTATGTCGCGAAACGTCAGGAAGTTAAACTTCTACTCACTGAAATATTATAGTTTTATTATGAACATTTTATCGAATGCTCAGTTTATTTGATATTATCAAGCTAAGCCTTGATGCTGATGCCTACAAACTAAAAGTAAACTAGAATTGGTCATCAAATGCCCTGGGGCTGCAGAGAGTGGAAGGGGTCCCCTCAACCTCTCCAAATGTTCTCACATGGTCATGCGTATATAGCCACTAACAGAGAAATCCTACTCACTGCCTTCTCACGACGAGGGTGTTGCTAACGAAATCGAGAACAAGAAGCAAATGTCTGGCAATTTAACCGGATTGGTGAGTATGGAGAATTCACTGAGACGAATTTGAAAACCATGATTCCAAACTAATCTTGCACGTGTGTTCCAGAATCGTGAGGAAGCAAATGGTGTACGAACCTATCTTTACTCACCGGCTACCATTGGGTCACATTTCCTAACGTTGCTCTACTGTCTTGTGGATGAGACGTCCATGTCAAATGCTCGAGGACTGGCCCCTTAGGGGGACCACCTGACTCTGTTTTGGTACCTGGAGAGTGCCCCAGATTACACACAAATTGAATGATAACTGCTTTGTGTGAAGCATACATACTTCGGTACCCATTTGTGCTAATGTTTATGTGTCCAAATAAAAAATAAAACTAAGATCGAATACAGTATGTGGTTTGCGTGCATTCAGCAAATTAACAAATAAGACTTGTAAAGTGTGAAGAGCGACCTGTACAAAAATCTCTCAAGTTAAATTTATGTGAATGAGTCAACTGAGTTGATATGGTTCTTAAATGAAAGGAGAAAAGTTATTTAAATTATATTATCAGCTGTTAAACCCGTTAGAAGTGACAGATTCACGATCATTCCAGCTTTTAATAACATCGAACTTTACCAAATATCAAATCACTCTCCTACCTATTATTTATTTATTTATTTGAACGCATAAATATTGGTACAGGGGGGTACCAAATATATATGCGCCACACAAAACAATGATAATTTGAAGAGAAGGAGAATATATATATATATATATATATATATATATATATATATATATATATAAAAGTAATGAACGTGGTGAATTATAAAAAAAAGAGAGAGAGAACAATGATGGGGAAAACGGAAAGGTACAATCAGAAGAAATCTTTCAGTTAAGGAAGATACAACCACTTTTTATGAAGAAACTAAAAGAAGGTTACAGCAGGATCGCCATTGGCTTCTATTCTGAGCCATATCTGATAACGTCTCTAGCCACTGCGTTACACAGTCTCTCGGACCCCAGTCAACTCTACTACCTACTGACTGCAAACACTCAATTACCATAAACAGAAACTGAGACTACCCACGGGTTGATTAGTAACCTTTTCTGAACAACAGCCTTAACGAAAACAAGTGAAATTTGATGTGCTTGCACAATACACTTCGAACAACCTGGTCATGTGCATATACTTGCCAATGTACTTATATATGAAAACTGAAGGTCGGTTAAATAAAGTTAAGTGAATACAAATTAATAATTGGAAATTTGGGAAAGATGGTATAACATGGAAAGTCAGTTGTCAAAACAACACTGCATTACAATGGATTAAAAATTACGAGAACCGATTCACAGTTCGACCATATTATTATTCGATTTCGTGGTGCCTAATGACTCCTAGAGGTTTTTACACAAAGCTTTAAAAGATACTTTTAAGTCAATTCTATGACTTGATTCACCCGTATGTTCTCACTACTTTCAATTTTATGGTTTGAAACCATAGTTCGTCGGATTTCCAAACTGATAAGTTTTAACGAGACCACAAATGGTCCAAGTTAGATAAACACTGAATACCTGGAAGCACTGGATATCTGTTCTGACCTATTATGGGACTCCTTATCAATGTGCATCCACGATTCTTCAGTCGCGAATCGAACCCGGGACCTATGGTCTCGCATGCGGACACTTAACTTCTGAACCAATGAGTTGAGATTCAATGGTGTACTAGTCTAACTTCAATCAATCCACAATACGGCGTGGCCATTTTTCATTGTTTTATGTGGGTGACTTCCTCGGATCCAACACGACTGAACTCCACTCGTCACTTCTGGACGAAACAGCTCTGCAAGTTTCTGATGGTTGCTGAACTTAGCCCGGTCCGTTATCTCAACAAAACTCGACAACCGTATACTGATGATATCATTGCCTAATTACAGTGACAATCCCCTCATTACACAAAAATACTGAGAGATTACAACATCTTCAATCAAGTCAGAACCTTCCTACAGAGTCAAACTTTCTAATGTTGAATTTGTGAAATGCAACAGTCATTATATTACCGATGCCTCTCAATTCATTCATCCAAAAGAAATATCTCTAAAATATGATGACATTCAAAATCTTTAAAAGCTACAATCTAAAGGGATGAGAAAAAGAAAATTGCTTTCATTTCTGGTGAATAACAAGACAATTATCTATCATTTGTAATATAAACTATGTAGTGCAAGTTAATTACCGCTTTCGAACATCTGTCAATAAAATGATAGAGTCATTCACCGAATAACTACATAAATGTAAAATACCTTTTGGTCTTGCATTTCATCATAAGCGATTTGAAAAAGCTTCTGTGATTGAGTAAACTGTTGCTGCTGAAAGGCGTACCTTCCGAGTACAAAGTTAAGTGATGCAGAAAGATAGCTTTTGGAGAGAGGTATCGAGTTGTTAAGAACAAAATCTGATAAACCGTTATGGTTCTGATCATCCTGAGTAGACTTAACCTTTGGTTCAAAAACTGTAGAAAACATAGAATTTAGCGCTGAAAACACTGAAGGAAGAGGTCTAGCTATGTTGAGATCATCCAAAAGACTGTTGATTTCGTTTAACTGGTTTACAGACTCATGTATACGAGTGAGAACAACGCCAACTTCCACGCGATTATCCGCAAAAAACGCCACCTCAGGAATCTCAGTTAAACCAGAAACAATAGGGGTAAGATTTCGAAAGGGATGTGGCAGCATACTGGATGTATGAGATACCTAAACTATATTAACGTTATGTGAATGCACAAACATACATGAAGGCACCATATATGGTAAGACATCAAACCATAAATTGTCATAGGATTTAACTGAGACCATGTATAGTATCCGTAAGGATTTATAATGAAAATATTTTCTTTATTTGTCGCCTGTTCAAACAGAGGTTGTAAAACTGACGAAAATTTTGAAGTATTCATGACGAGCACTCTATAGAGACGTGCAAGAAGCTTAATGGGCATTTCTGATATGACTCGAAAAAGATTAAGATTGAATTTTAGATTAGCAGCAATCTGTAAGGACATCATATCCAAAACTTTGGACTTTTTGAATAACTTAGACGACTCTACAAATATGTCATCAGGATTCATAGTTTCATTTTCTCCGATGAAGTTGTCCACTGAATTATTTTCACAATTAGTGAGACTAGTTTTTCTTTCACTTATTTCAGCCTGTGATAAGGATTGTTTAAGCAACTCCAACTGATGTGATATAGTTAAACTCTCAATGTCCGATAATAATTTATTTGGTTGAGCAAGGTAAAACAACCAATCTTGTTCAACATCATCAACTTTCATTGTGTAGTTTATTGGATGCTATACTGTTTCTGAAATATATACAATGAAATTGAAATAGATGTTCATTATGGTACATAAATATGGAGTATAATTTATTTTATAAAATGCTTGAAAACAAAGTTTGACTGCAATGTATGTAAACATGCATTACTAGGACATTCATTCATTTTACCACATAAGTATAGGTACAGGGAGGCACCAAGTACACATGCGCCACACGAATCTCAATTGATTTGTGTGAGGGCTGTGATACTGCCCGGGTGCCAAGACCGGAGCAGGTGGTTTGCTTAGGGGGCCACACCCCGAGCCTTCAACCTGAAGATCTGATCCACAAGGCAGTGGAGCATCGTGAGGAGATGCAGTCCCATGGTAGCCGGTGATCAACGATTGGTTCATACGCCATTTGTTCCTTCAGGATACTGGAGCCCATGTGCACCATTGGTTTGGGGTCCGGTTAAAGCGCCGGACATTCGCTTTTCGTCCTCTCATTTTTGTAAACAACACCCCCGCCACGAGAAGGCAGTGAGTAGGACTTCCCTGGCAGAGGCTGTATACGCGTGGCCATGTGAGAGCATTTCGAGAGGGAGAGCGGACTCTCCCCACTCTCGGCCGTACCAGGGCATTTGGGGGCGCATTACTAGGACAATTTGCATCAATTAAATAAAACGTTTAGATACAACATTCTGTATTGCTACGAGCGCTGGTTACGAAACAGAAATCAGCGCTAAATCCTTAAACTGTGAGTCAGCTGAATTCTCACAATAAAACATTTCTGTCTGCAGAGCAATTCTATAAAGCTTATCCACAATTATTCATGAATGATATTTCAGAATAAAAATGACTAAAAATTCAAAACATTTATACTTCCCAACTTTACGGACTAAAGACTGAACACATTGACTTTATTGACAATATTTCAACGAAAAACAGTTGTGATAGATGACGCCCCCAAATGCCCTGGTATGGCCGAGAGTGGGGGGAGTCCGCTCTCCCTCTCGAAATGCTCTCACATGGCCACGCGTATACAGCCTCTGCCAGGAAAGTCCTACTCACTGCCTTCTCGTGGCGGGGGTGTTGTTTACAAAAATGAGAGGACGAAAAGCGAATGTCCGGCGCTTTAACCGGACCCCAAACCAATGGTGAACATGGGCTCCAGTATCCTGAAGGAACAAATGGCGTATGAACCAATCGTTGATCACCGGCTACCATGGGACTGCATCTCCTCACGATGCTCCACTGCCTTGTGGATCAGATCTTCAGGTCAAAGGCTCGGGGTGTGGCCCCTAAGAAAACCACCTGCTTCGGTTTGGGCACCCAGGCAGTATCACAGCCCTCACACATATCAAATGAGATCTGTGTAGCGCATATGTATTTGGTGCCTTCTTGTACCGATATCTATGTGTTAAAATAATAATAATAATAATAATGTGATAGATGACAACCTTCAAACTTTGAAGAAAAAAGATTTTATTTGGTTTAAATCTGTTACCAGTTAAGCAGACGAGTGTGGAAAAGCTTTTCCTTACGTATCACGTACTACGACTTAAAACCATCAAACAAGAACGTGCTAAAAGTACGAAGGACTTTAGAAATGAAAAAATCAATAAGACCGAGAGGGTTGTACCCCAAAATCCTGAGACAAGTTGAACCATACATTTTCACCCAGCTGACTACGATATCTAGAATATCACTCAGCCAGAGTAAGTTACCTGTGGACTGAGAAAATGCAACTGTCACTCCAACTTGCAAGATATGATCAAGACAACACCAATCAAACTACAGATCCATCAGCATCATTAGCATCGTACTTAAAATGCTGGAGAGAGTAACTAAAATGGCCATTATGACCATGAAAACTAACAACTTGTTAGACAGTGAGAAACATGGTTTCAGTAAAGGACTATCCCGCATAACCAAGCTCCTTATAGCAAGAAAGTGATGAACAGTGTCGTTCAATAATAGGAAACCAGCTGGCGTTGTTTACGTCGACTTCAGTAAATTATTCAATGCAGTGTCGCATAACAGACTTCTCCCAAAGCTGGAAAAGCTAGGGCTTGAAGTACCTTTTTCTAAAACGCACCAAACATATATTGATAGGTTGTCGACAAAAAGTAAATTTAAAATATTTCTCATCAAAACCAGCAAATAGTAGAGTATCCCCAAGCCCCGTTCTAGGTTCTTCACATTTAAATTTTATGGTTATGAATTCAAAATTTGGAGAAAAATAACAGGGATGCAAAAGCATGTGCATTACAGCCCGGACCAAAAGTTCCTCTTAGCTGGTTAAGAATGTAGTCAATGCATATCGACGTGGTGAAGCGTAACTGCATGCACATTGCCGATACAACAAATGGCGCTTTGAGGGGACTTTGGTTATCTTAGTTTTGTTTTAGGACGATCGGGTAATAGTGAGTCACGACCTCAAGACCATGGCTCGCAGCGGTGCAGTTTCAGCTACAAGTTTTAGAACCCTATGAACCTTAAGACGGACACTTAACGTATTGGATACAAGCATGTCCACCAAAGTATACATCACCTTAGTGTGATTCGAACTTGACAACCGCATTCATGTTCATACTCCTGTTTAAAAGTTGACTCATAGATCCTGAAATCCGTACAAAAGAAAGGTACCCACGCAAGTCTAGAGACCTGGGGTCTGCCAAACACAAGGCAACTTAAGAAGTTACCGCATATCAAGGGGTGATTAGACTTTGATGTAAAAAAGTCCCCATAAATATTTTCATATCTGATAAATATCCCGTTTTTCACTTTGCTAGATTAGAAAAACCCATTGGACACAAAAAGCCAGCTCAGGAACTAAGGACAAGTAAAATACCTTTATCCCCAGATTCATATGACCACCAAGTTTTGGAGGAAATATTTAGGTCTTAGTTCCATTTTCCCAAAGTTTTCTATAGCGACTTCCTCAAAATTTCCACAAAATGGGTCAAAATTTCCCCAAAATTGGGAGATTGAGGATATTCAGCACCATTTCGTGAAATAATGAACAAAAGTGTTATCACACAATAAAATTTTTTACCGTCATGAGAAGCGACTGCAAAAGTTTATCAGTTCATACAACGTTACTACTACTAAATTGAAATGAATGACAAAAGCACGTTCGGAGATGTATAAGCAACGCCAATGTTAAAACCAGCGCTACTAATTTCAACCTTCAAAAATAGCTTTGTTCTTGAGGTTTAATTAATCGTTAGGCTGTTTTTCAAAAATCATATGGAATATGCTGTTACTATCGTTTCCACTGATGAGATCAAAATTTGCAAGTTCCGAATATGGAGAAATGTACATGCGAATTTGGGTTTATTCTTCCTTCTCCCTCAAATATATGTCTTTTTACATTTACTTCAGCAACTGAGCATATCAGCAATCCTTTGGTAGTATCAATCATGGTTTTGTCTCGTTTAGTCACAAAGGCTTCAAGTCTAGAGTCTTTTGGAGGGCCGAGTAAGGTTAGTCCCAACACTGTTTAGATTGTTCTTATCTGAATATTTCGGGAAAGTGGTACTCTTTTAAAACAGTGGGGACAAAATGGAATACTTTCCAGGTTTGGATATCAGTAAGTACTAAAAACGGTTCTGAATAGCTCTCGAGACACGCTATTTAATGTTCTGGAAGGGGGTAACAAGATAGTGTATACTTCATTGGCTACAAAATCACAGTACTAAGATGCGCCCGAACTAACACACTGGCTAAACCCCGGAATGTGGTTTGGTTGCAAAAGGCAGTCCATAAAGAAAGAGGTTGGAAAAGTTCCGTTACTCTTCACCATTACCAATCTGCAGATGAACTTTCTATCATTCCTGCTATAAATCACATACGAGTCTTTCTTTGGAGTTACTATATCAACAAGAACTGATGTTTCGGGTCGATTCTTAATGCTACTTGCACAAACCAGAGTTGGATAATCAAGAGCACCAGGTAAATTAATAACAAGCGATAAGAAAAAGATTAATTCAAAGGGTGAATCTTTTGCCACTCAACTTGTCACATGAAAACAAGTCAAATAGGACAGAGCGAATTCTTACAACTTATGATCTCCTCCATAATCGATGTATATTGACTGATTGTATTTCAGTGGAACAGACGAGCCCGCCAGCTCAGCAGCACTCCTTTGTCAGAAACTCTCCTGAAAGGATCCACAGCTACTTCATCGAGCTCAGAGCTAATCGCAGGCTTCACTAAAATTACGAACAAGTAATAGCATCTTACTGCATAACCCGTATCCAGCTATGATGTTTTTATTGTAGCACCTTCAATTTACGCTTATATAGCTGGAGCTACTTTGACTTTCAGTATCTGACTTACTCACCTATTGCTGCCCAATAAGAAATAGTATCCATTTGTGAAAATTATGAGTTCCGCATCAACATTTTTCGTACTTACCTCTCAATAGCTCGAGCAGGTCATTCTTGAGCATGATTCTGCCTCCGGATGCGATAGTCATTTTTCAGACTATCTCTCCAGAACTTCACAGAAGCAGTGTTGTCCTGATCTCTGAGTAAAGACCTATGCCTATGGGAAGGGAGATTACTGAAGCAATCCAAATAATCAACAGACCCCCAATGAAGTGATCCCCTCCTGATTCCCTTAAGGTATTCAACATCTGTCTTTTTGCGCTCGTCTTTCAACGTAAACACGGTATCGAGATGTTTCTGTGGTGCCACGATTTTGATTTAAGTGAGTAAAAATAATAATACCCTTTAATGTCTTTTATATTCAATGAATTTAAATGTCATTACTTCGTACTGTTCGACAATATGAAAAATATATTACTGAGGTGGAATTCTATTCTATCTTATGTAGCGGTTAATAAATCACCAAAATAAATAGCTCTGTAAGTTTTCGACATTGGATGCTGACCAAATTAATTTTAATGGACACATCTAGCTGATGGTGCTCGGTTGTGCATCCGCACCAGATCATGAGTGAGAACGCCGTGCTCAACAACCCCTGCAATCAGTAGCCAGATTAGATCAGACGATCCTCGATATATTGATAGCCTATCAAATATATCTTCGAACCTCCTCGCTTCTGTCTTTCGATTTCACTTGGTGGGTATGATTCATATTAGGAGGTGTTACTGGTTAAAGCGTTGTCAAACTTCGAATACCTGTGACATTTTCACTTTCTTTCTTCATATGAATAATGGAAAAAAGGAAAAGTGCGATGATAATGTTAAATTTTGTGACTTAATGATTGTCTAATATGCTGATAAATGAAAAAAATTGTAGGTACCTAATATCTGTGAACAAAATTTAATCATAATTGTAAGGGTACACAATATTCCTTTTGGAACAAAACTTATGCAGATAAAGTTTTCAGCTAAATGTAACTGAGCACTTGATTGTATGCATACTAGACATTAAACTGCAGACATACTTTGTGTTGGACGATTAGTTCTAAAATAGTGATAGTATTTTTGATAACTAGGCACACAAACTACGACTTTTCTTGGTAATAAAATAAATGCACTTAAAGCTCCAGGAATTTCACACCTTATTATAACCAGCAAGTGGCAAAAATATATGGCCATGAAAAGTCTGCCATTAGTTTTAAAGAGGCATTACACAAATAATATCTGACTCTCAAGTTGTATTACATATACATGTAAGACTCGAAGAGTTTGCGTATTATATTCTATCACGAAAATATGTCAACGTATTTTGCGCGAGAACCTGGTGAGTGAATACCACCAGTGCTACAGCACTTTATAAGATAGTGACGTGATTATGAATACATTAGTAGTACCTTCGTATTGTTTTCGAGGAGGAGCTTTGAGATAAACAATTATTTCAATTAACTGTAATATAACAGTAATATAACAGTTTGATTAAATGTCAGATTAGTTTTCCAAACTCTCACCGTTCAATAGATAAATCTAAACTAGTACATGGTCGGCTGCATCTGCATGACAAGCTATTCAGAAACATTTACTTGGATACGTAGTAATTATCCATTCGGGAAGTATTATTCTAATGACTACAAGCGTTACAACACAAGAAATTCAGAAGTAGTCACTAATGTTAGAAGAGCGTCACCTACATCACAAATACAACTAAACCGGCATTCATCCCAGAATCTGTACAGGGACTTTAGATCAATTACTAATATACCTATGTCACGTATTTGCTATATATTTTTTTACTATTTAGTATGATATAAATTTGGTGCCACAGTTTACGCGTCTTGTGTTTCCCACAAGTTGTTGATTCTACTTTAGTGTTTCATGTTTTAAATCGGTTCAATTAAATTGACCTCTGACAGTGGCGGCTGCTCCACTTGGTTTATCTTAGATCGATCAATTTGATTATTTTATTTTTCGGTGGAAGTATGTTTCTAGTTTTACTGGAAGCACCTTTATGACTAGTAATAATCTTTTGTTACGCTTAATGTCAATATTTTTTATTGCTCTATATCCATGATCATTCAATTTTGAATGGGTCAAGATGAAGGCACAGTACGACCGTAAGGTTATGGGTTTTCGCGCGTGTAACATATTCTCGTGGATTTTTTGTGTCGTTATTTAACAACTATTAACAGGCTTTTTTCCATCTCACGTACCTTTTTGTACTGTTTATGGTTGCTACATAGTTTTTATTCCAATTTATTTGCAGTTTGACGTATTATTTGCTTATCAGCTTAGTGACTGTTTAGTAAGCCTAATTAGGTTATTTGCAACAATACAAACTCAAGCAAGTAAGATTCACCATTTTTCAAGTTACAAAATAGGTCACAGATTAAGTTTTCAAGGAAAGAAGCTCAAAAACATTACATATGTTTCACCTCGTTTGTTGTGGTGATGATGAACATGGATGTTTGTAGTTGTTTATAAAGTGTAAGGAACAAGCAATTAAGCGTTAATCCATTTATGAATATTATATAACTTGTTAATATTTAGTCATGAACAGTTATACCTATTATAAGTATCATCGCTTTTTACTTAAATGACATAGTATTATGTAACGCATATGAGAAGAATTATGTGAGTAACAATTGACGTTGATAGTCATTTCCATCCGGTTTCTGAACGTATACAGGAACAGTATATAGCACCACTGGACGTGTCACATTAAGTAGTCACAAAGTGTTCATAAGTAAAACGATTTGTTTATTTTGGGCAAGGTTGTGTGCTATAACTATTCCGAGCGGCTCCAATAATGTCGTTATAATTTCTTATGTCTTTTATATATATTGTTAAATATTCACTTTCAAACCTTCTGATTTCCGCTTATGACCAAATGTACAATGAAAAGCAACAAACAGGTACTTGAACCTGACATCCTTCAGCAACCTGCTTTCTGCGTGGATGTAATGAGTGCACGTAGTCTGAGAAATGATAAAATCACTCTTCCATACTTTTAGGGCGTTATCAAAGTCATCCCAGTATGCAAAACGCTTGTTCAGTATCATACTTTAAAAAGGTTCGCTAACGTAGACTGAAATGTCGCTTGAGCACGAAGCACTACAAACAGAAATCACTGTTTATAAAAAAATAATCCCTTGAAACAGTAATAACTCAAGGAAGAACTAAAATACTTAGGATTTACCGTTGATTTGACATTTCGTAGAGGTTTACTACAGCAGTTGGGACCACAGATCAAACTACGAAGCAACAACAGAGCCAACGTGTACACTACAAGAAAGAGAATGCTAAATTAATGCGTTTGATAATTATTTTGTGCTTTTCAATGCAGCAAAACATGACTTAATTATGAAAAAACTTGACACTCATGAAACCCAACCAACCCACGGCAATACAAATACGGAATGACCGCCTCTTGTCAGGCTGTTCAAGGTCGTTGAAGCGAAAGCGCGGGCAGCTTCGAACGGTCATAACGTTTTTCCTGTGCCCAAAATGAAATATTCCGTAGTTTAGAACTGTGCTCTTCGCTCGTCAAGAATGCTGTTATTTGCTGGTAGGCAAGTAGTTTTGAGGTTCCTCGTAGTTATTGTTGATAATTATATAGCTTAATTGTATCCAATTTCGGAGAAATGAATTGTTAATGATAAACACCTTACAATCTCGTTGGTTCAGTTGGTTATCTAGTAGTACACTCATTTAAGAATATCATCCGCGAAGCTTGTACAAACTGAGGACAATATTTTCGAAGTTGCATCAACTCTGACAGTGGATCATACCAAC